ATCTTTACCAGGTAACCAAACCACTCCAAGGGTTTTAGTCACATCTGAGTCAGCCAATAATGGCATGATAGCGCTGTCAGATGCGGAGATCTCTGGGCAGTTCGAAAACCACTTTGCCAATTCGAAACCTGCCTCTTGCAAAACCTGAGAAACTTCATCACGAAGGCTTTGCAGGTTCTCAACGCATCCGGCGCCTGTCAACAAATCGTCAACATAAAAATCATTCTGAATGACCTTTGCGGCATTTGGATACTTAGCTTGCGCCATCTCTCCAAGCCGCATTAAACACCGGATTGCCATGAAGGGTGCTGGCGATGTTCCGTATGTCACGGTATTTAACCTAAAGATCTTCAGAGATTCAGAAGGATCTCGTCTCCACACTATGAGCTGATAGTTTCGGCCAGCTTCGTCCACCATCACTTGGCGATACATCTTTTTAATGTCCGCTGCAAGGGCGAACCTGTGCATTCTGAACCGAAGTAGCGTCGAATACAGCTCCTCTTGAATAGTGGGGCCTACCATCAAGATATCATTCAACGCAACCTGCGTCGATGTGCGGCTTGAGGCATCGAACACCACTCTCAACTTGGTTGAGGTGCTTTGAGGCCGCAGCACGCATTGGTGCGGACTGAAATAGTGTGGAGCATCTGGAATTCTATTATCAGTAGAAGACATATGGCCCATTGACGAATATTCCTCCTTGAAGTCCAGATACATTTTTATGAAGGATCATTGGACAATCTCCTTTCCAGCGACAAAAATCTACGTTTCGCAACTGAACGGCAGACGAACCGAAAATCTCCCGGACGACAGTCTTTGAGTATTATTCTCAAAGTGTTGTTCACAAAGTTGCTGCTCAGGAGTATGGACTTTAGCCTTAGGCGGCAAGTCCTCCACAGACCAAAATTTCTGCAGGGTTGTGTCGATTGACTCCAACGCTTCTTCCTGGCAGCTGAGATGTACCGAATTTTCTGCCTTAATTTTGGTTTCCGAGGTACATCTCCCTGACACTATCCAGCCGAGAACAGTTTTTTGTAAGATGGGAAGTTCAGGCCCCTGCTTTATCTGGCCGACTGACAGAATTTCAAAAAATGAATCTGCGCCGATAAGCATGTCTATTTTTTGGGGCTTGAAGAAGAATGGATCTGCCAATTTAATATTTTCAGGCACCCTCCACCCGCTGGTGTTCACCGCTTGATCCGGATGATAACCAGAAATATTCTTTAAGATATAAAAATCGGACGACAACTGGCTGCTCCCTACTCGCGACTTCACTATTGTATGTATTTTCTTTGTTGCTTGGGCATTAGTTTGACCAATGCCCCGCAAGCTCATACACACATCCTCTCTTTTAATTTGTAGTCTCAGAGCGAGCTCGTCGGTCACAAAATTTATTTGTGAACCAGAGTCAAGCAACGCTCGAGCCACAACAAATTCGCCACTTTTCGATAATACGCTCACGATAGCTGTGGCAAGAATAACTCTATCCGAAGCAGTCGCATGCAAAACATGTGAAGTGGAGGCTCTTGCATGAGCGTGGGCTGAGGAGGAGGCGGCAACGCGAGATTTTTCTTAGGCGAGTATATGTGCAGCAAAGTGTGGTGTGAAGATTTGCACACCCTGCACCTGTTCGATTTGCATTTCTTGACCGTGTGACCCTTGCGAAGGCAGTTAATGCATAAGGGCACTTTCTTGGCAAAATCGAACCTCTGCTGCACTGTTAGAGCTGCGAAAGAAGCGCAGTTTCCTACTTGATGCTCTGCTGATGTGCAAAACACACATAGGGAAGAGTCGTCCCTGGCAGCGATCAATGAAAAACTTTTATTTCCACTCTTCTTCGGAAAAGTCTGGCTTGGCTGAACATTTTTCGGCTTGGAAGCCTCTTCGGCGACCATGTATTGGTATCGCCTGTCCAGAGCCGACTCACATTCGCTCCAAAGCGGAAGCGAAGTATAGTCTAATTGTTCTTCCCACTTTCTTTTTGTTCCTGCATCGACTTTGCTCATGATTAGATGAATGAGGATGGCATTCGTTATACGTTTGTCATCCCCAATGGACAGCAACGAGTCATACAGAGCTCTGACTGTGTCGATCAGGTTTCTCAAGGCTGTAGCTGATGGCTGGGACATTTTTGGCAGATTAAAAAGTGTCGATATATTGTCGAAGAAAATCAGACAATCATTATCGTACACTCGCTTCAGGCTAGCCAGGGCCTTGGGATAGTTGGCCGCGGTGACTTGAAATGCCCTGACTGTGCCTAAAGCGTCTCCAGCCAGACACGATATTAAATGGTTAAATTTTTCAATATCGTGCAGAGTGTCATCTTTGTCGACAAACGTTTCGAAAAGGCTTATAAAGTTTTTAAACTGGGAGTGCTTTCTGCTAAATGTTGGAAGAGACACGCTCGGCAGGCGGCATTGGGGAGTGCGCCTTGCCGGTGGAGCGGATTCATCGACGCTCGCACGCCTGCTTTTGTTTATAAGGGAAATTAGCTGCGACTTGGCCAATACTGCGGTCTCTTCCAATTCTTCCCGGAACAAATCTTCTGGGTCTCTCGCTTCGAATTGATTCTGGATTGTCGAAGCATTTTCAATGTGCGAACTTAATATTTCCAAACGACATTCTAATTCGACTGGATTCAAAGATAATCTACCCTCTTCTAAATATGGTTGAGTTCGGGATATACTTCGCATAATTCCGTCTCGTTTATTTTTAAGCGCTTCGATTTCCTTGTTGCTCATTGTGTTTTATTATTTTAATTAAATTTGGTTGGGAATCGAAGGCTGGGAATTTATTTTTTATTCAAAAAACAAAATTAAAATAAAAAATTTTAATTTATTTTTTATTATTTAAACAAATAAAAAAAAATAAAAGAGTGGTATATGCCGAACGTCTGCAGTGTAGGGGATTTGTCGAACAAATTTAACGAAGTCGTTTAGAATAATAATAATTAATTTATTAATTCCTTACGGAACTAATAAACTCCACGCACAAATTGTAGAGGAGCACACGCTCAGCGCAAATACCGAAAACACAGCGATAACACAAAAAACGCTTGCAATAGTTCAGCGACCAAAAACGAAAAGCGCGAAAGCGAGATCAAAAACACTGGCAGCGCTGCGTGGGTGAGAGTGCGTGTGTGTATGTCTGTATTTAGCTGGCGGCTCACTCTTTGGTAAATGCTGACTACCGGAAATGATGCACTGACCGATATATAAGGGCAACGAATATATAAGCGGGATGCTGGTGAAGCGCGGGAAATGCCGCTAAGGCTTGGGAAAATGGCGAAAAATGCGCGCACAAGTTTTTTCCGCGATTTTCTTTGCACAATAGTTCACTGGATGCACTATTTAAATCACTTTATTTTCGGCCTTAATTTTTAACCCTAAATTGGTGCTCACTACGACGAAATTGGTGGAATTAATTTGCACTTATTGGGTCAACGACGAATTTAATTTTATAGGTCCAAAGCGATTCACTTTAATTCAATATTTATAGTAATATAAAATATAAGGGTATATCAATATGTATGCGAATGGATATTATTCGAATTAAAATTGTTGGTGCATGCGAAAATCAAATTTTTTGGTTAGAATGCTCACTATCTACCGATTTTACACGAATGCAAAAAGTTGAAAGATTGGCCGAACACAATTTTAACAAGACGCCACAATCAACTTTTTACACTCTGTACCTGGCTGGCCGATTTGGTCTGATCAGCGACTTCCCTTTTGGTATCCATATGCCTGGGGTATATAGGGTGCGAAAGATGACGGCACTTCTCCAGCGGCAAGGTTTGGCAACAATCGAAAAATGTTCTTCACCGGCAGCGACAAAAAGGCTTCTTCAGCAGCAACAAGTCCAACGACGAAAAATGATTATTTATTGGCACTTATTTTTTGTTTGTTGAGCCGACGCGAAGAAATTTATTTGGTTTTTGATTGTTGTAGAAACACCGACGCGGAAATGTTTGTTGTTTAAATTGTTTATACCAAAAAAAATGCGAAAAAAGAATAATACCAACTACTAATCACGTCGGGGTCACCATGAAAAAACAATAAGCGTTTTTATTGCCGACAAACGCGAGAACTTGTGATTGCAGTGGTTATTTCTTATTTTTCGAGGTGGTTTATTAAGTCGAATAGCGAAAACGAAAACGAGAGTTACGGCGATGCGTACGACACGGAGTTCAAATTTCAACTAAACTTTAATTTCATAAATTTCTCTTACATGCTAACCTAAAGTACTAAGCGGGAGAGCGGTGGCCGAATTCGCCTGAGCGATAAAGCTTTATTTACGCCCCGATCCCCGCTTTACATAAACATCAGAGAGAAATCTCCAAACAACCTCAAAAACCTCATACAAAATTATATTCGAGTCCGTGGGTCAGATCATGTTTATTAAATGATTTCAGGGTCGCTGAATCCGAATCCGAGGTCTAAAAAACTCCAGAATGTCAGGGTTACGACATAACCTCAAAAACTTGATAAAATTATTATTTTCCGAGTTCTGGGTTCAGACCATGTTTACCATAAAACAAAAGTTTCTACTTATAGAGACCGAGACTTCGAATTCCGTAAATTTTTTGAGGTTATGTCGTAACCCTGACATTCTGAAGTTTTTTAGACCTCGGATTCGGATTCAGTGACCCTGAAAACATATAATAAACCCACGGACTCTAATATAATTTTGTATGAGGTTTTTTGAGGTTATGTCAGAACCCTGACGTGCTGGGGTTTTTTGGACCTCGGATTCGGATTCAGCGACCCTGGAGTCTGACCTCCAGGCCCGAAAAAATATTTTTTTTGTGTGGCTGTGTTATTAAACAGGTTAAAAAAAATTGGATATTTAAAAACTTTTTTTTTTCGAAAATTTTCGAAATTCCATATCTTCGAAACGGGGGTGGTCAAAAAAACTAAAAGGTGGGCAAACGTGGTCAAACAGGGGTCATACGATTCCACTTTTCAAAATTGAAATTTGAAATTTTTTGGACCCAACTTTAAGCTCTTAATTTATTGTATGTAACTATGTATGTATAACGCCACCACTTTCCGGTTCACTTTTACATTTTTTATTTTTACATTTTCTATATATCACTGCATGTGCTTAATAGTCCAGTTCCTTTGTATCAGCTCCTACCATAATAGCTTCGCTGCCTCCTTCCATTGCAACGCTAGCTGGAGCTTCGCAACTAGTATCCTGAGTAGAGCAGGTCTGACAGTTGCAATTTACTGCCTCCATATAGTGGTACTTGCTAACGCTCTTCTCCGCCTTAGGGTGACAGTTCTTGAGGATGGCCATGACGGGCTGTCGGTGAGCATGGACACAAACTGGATGAAAGGAACGCTTATAAGGAAATTTCCAATCGGAAATTTCGCTTGAGTCGCAACGTCCCCAGCACGACCACACGCTTACATAGTCCCAGCATTCATGCCCTAAAGAGTCGGACTGTGTCACTTTATACGTATACACGCGACGATGGCAGCCCAAGGGCGCCGCAGTAGGTCCACTGTTGATGGGCAAAAGCTCCACCAACTTTGAAGCGTAAACACGCATCATAATTAATCCTAAGGATAAAGCTAGAACCCTAGATATAAATACATTCACGTGGATATAGTAAACAAGGAAGCTAGCTTCGGCAAGACGAAGCTTATATACCCTTGCAGTCATCAAATATTTCGAACAGAATACACAAAGGCTAAACAACATCGAAGCTACGACGACTTTTCTATTAATTTTCCATATTTTTGACTATTGTTCATATGGAGCTATATGATATAGTCAAGAGTCGTTAGAAAACTCCATATTCAAAAAATCATGATTTTCTGATGAGAAATAACGATTTTATCTTTTTATTTCCGTTATTTCTATATAGATTTTTCGATCTTTCCTATGGCAGCTATATGAAGTTGTCCGATTCTTATGAAATTTTTTTTATAAATCAAGGATAGTTAAAAAACTTGATACTCAAAAAATCATAGTCGTGTGATGAAAAACAACAACGGAGTAAGATTTTTTTTGTCAATCTCTCGTATGGGAGCTATTCGATATAGTCGGCCGATCCGGCTCGTTCCGACTTATATACTGCGTGCAATAACTACAGAACTTTTGGGAAAGTTTCAGCAAGATAGCTTCAAAATTGAGAGACTAGTTTACATAGAAACAAACAGATGGACAGACGGACCGACGGACAGACGTACAGACGTATTTCAATTCAGATCGTGATGCTGATCAAGAATATATATACTTTATAGGGTCTGAGGTGCCTCCTTCACTACGTTACAAACTTTTGCACTGCAAGGGTATAAAAAGGTGCGCAGTTAATAAAGTTTGCCTTACCAAACTGAACAACCACCCATCGTCCCTTGCGCTTCGCTGTGTGGTGGGCTTCTTCTTGCTGACTGAATTGGTACCAATGTTATTCGCTTATATATACGCGCTCTATATGCACTGAGTCTGCGCTGCGTGCAATGGTAAGATTCGGCCCAACTCAATTTGTGCGTCCAAAAATAGCATGGCTTCAGCCTTACTTTTGCATATTAAATTTCTTTGGTGCTAGCCATTACCGTTTTGTATGCTAAATTAATTATTTAAACGGCAGTTAAATGAATTACATTGTGAACTAATGGCAATAAAAAAGCAGATTGTTTTCTTTTCAGTGGAAAAAATACAAAAAAAATTAAATACCTACATTAATCATTCATTATTATTTCTGTTATTTTAGTACATAGGTTGCTCTTTACTTAAGTACCTTCTCACAGCTTCGCTGGTCAACACAATTTAACAACATTAAATATTAAATGGTGGTTTAACACTTTTCCAGTTTGACTTTTTTACTTGCGCAGCACCATCCAGCTGTTTCTCTTTTGAACTTTAACGTCCTGCAATATCGGTATATAGTCGTCATTGGACCAATATCTTAATTTTCGTTATGACTGTAGTTCGCACTGGGATCATATTGGAATGACAATCGATTGTATGATGCAAATGATCTTCATGTGCTCATTCTCCTATTATATTTTGTCTTTCTTCGCTTAAGTTCTGTGAATACACTGTTGCTGGCTTGGATGTCTTGTGCGGCTGCCATTGTTCGCACGACGTCCGCTAAGCATTTTGAACTATGGGCAGAGTGGTGAATTTATCCTCAAATGCACGATCCACATAATTTACACAGTTCAACTTACCACCTTAAAGACAAATGCCTGCTATTTAAATTGAATAAAAATTCTATTTTTTTCACAATTTCACAGTGAACACAATACCGGTTTGTCACATGAAATTAACTGAGCAGAGAACACTAAGGTTTGCACATATTAACGTGAAAAAACTTAATTCACTTGGAAATGATAAATGAAAACCACAAAAATTGAGTTAAAATTTTGGTATGTCGAGCGGGATAAAAAGTATCCTATGTCCTTCTCCTGGCCCTACCAATTTTCAGCCAAATCTGTTCAGCCGTTCTTGAGGTTTAAGTGGTGTAACTAACACGACTTTCCTTTTATATATTATATATACAGTCGACTCTCGTTAATTCGAAACTCGAGGGACTCTTGAAATATTTCGAATTATCGAGTGTTTGAAATATTAAATGGTTCGAAATTTCGAAATTTGCGAAAGAACTTTGTTATACTGGCTTGCTTTAAAGCACAATTCTGCTGCTCACACTGCTCAATAACTTTTTTTAAGAGAAAAAGTGCCTGAAATACTTTTTCATCACTTTCGTTTTGTAGACATAAGCTTTGTAAGGTATCAAATGAGGATCTTGCTTCCTTAACTGACACCTCTGCCAAAGGTTCTTTATGCTTTCTAGGGCTCATAGCTAACATTAACTTTTAATATGCATACCAACGAAAGAGTAACAGTAACTGAATAACTACACAAAACAATTCGTAAGAAGTGTGTGCGTCAAAAACTACATAATCAAAACAAAAACAAAGGCAAGTTTGAACTTGTCGCAAAATTTTTTCTCTGCAACTTTGAATTGTCGAGTGTTAGACGCTGATGAGTTCGAATTAACGCGTGGTTTTGTTAAATATCAATGTTTTTTTCGTTCGAATTACCAAGTGTATGAAAATGTATTGATTTAGTTCGAAATATAAAGAGATTTCGTAGGGACCTCGTGATAACTTTGATTTTTAGAGAGGTTCGAATTATCGCAGGTTTGAATTAACGAGAGTCGACTGTATATATATATATAATATATATAATATACCTACTTACCTACTAATATTATAAAGAGGTAAAATTTGTTTGTTTGTTTGTTTGATTGCAACGAATAGGCTCCGGAACTACTGGTCCGATTTAAGAAATTCTTTCACCGATAGAAAGCTACATTATCGTGGAGTAAAATAAGCTATAATTTATTTTGAAAAAAAATTAGGGATCCGTAAGAAAATTGCAATATTGTCGCATATGAAGTGAGTTGCTGCCTCATCACACTGACAAACACGCTACCATAGCATTTTAACTCAATTTTTGTGGTTTACATTTATCATTTCCAGGTGAATTAAATTTTTTCACATAATTTGCAAACCTAAGTGTTCTCTGCTCAGTTAATTTCATGGACAAACGGGTATTGTGTTCACTGTGAAATTGTGAAAAAAAAGAATTTTTATTCAATTTAAGTTGAACTGTGAAAATTATGTGGATCGTGCATTTGAGGATAAATTCACCACTCTGTCCATAGTCCAAAATGCTTAGAGGACGACGTGCAAACATTGGCAGCAGACATCCAAGCCAGCAACAAGTATATTCACAAAACTTCCATATATTTGAAAAATGTTGCAACATTGACTATTATGTTGTTAAATTGTGTTGACCAGCGAAGCGGACCCAGGACCTCTAGTAATATATATACTAGTAAACCCGGCGAACTCCGTTTCGTCACCAGATGGCGATAGTCTTACGAAAAATTTTGTTTGGTAATTAAAAGATAAAGAAAATTTTTTTTTGTTTTATGTATGAAAAAGAAAAATTTTATTTCATTTCACAACAGTAATGAACTCATTTCGATTACAAAAATAAAGTGGTATTTAGTTGAATTTCTCTAAGTTAATGAAAGTGAATTCAATGAAAATACTGAATCGAAGCGTTATACGTGTCCGCAAATTATCCGTTTCATTGAAGTGCTCTTTGCTAAGCCAAATTTTTTTTTATATAGTCTGACGTTAACACAAACAAAGCGGTTCCTAACTCGTGAATACGCATAAATGACCAAGTGAAAAACAATGATTTTCTAAATTTATCCCGCAAACACTAAGCAATTGGCCTTGCGACTTGTTAATTGTCATTGCGAACGCATGGCGAACTGGAAATTGCCATCCTTTGAAGTCAAACGGAAGATCAGCCGGAATCATTGGTATTCGAGGAATACGAACATTTTCACCTGCGTACTTTCCGCTAATAATGCTGGCCTCAATCAAATTCGGCATAAGTCCTTTAACCGAAAGTCCTGTCCTGTTAACTTTTGGAAATTAGCTGTAACAATTAGACGTTGGCATGGCTTGTGTTCTTCTACTGTTTAATTTAATCGACGGTCACGGGCCAGTTGCGCATAAGTACGTCGCCCAAAATTTTTTGCTCCTCTGCGGAGACGCGGCATTTCATATCTTTGTAAACGTACTCTTCTGGCTTTCACTGTACTACGACCTATGTCCCATCAACGTAGTCTTCCAAACTTGAGTACAAAATGTACTCAGTTCTAGACTTATGTATAATTATCTACTGAGTTTGCGATGTACAAGTAAAAAAATAAAAATATTTAAACATTAAAAACCCCAAAAATAATAAAACATATTGTGAATGTAAACCATCCTTAAAACCCCTGAAACACACACAACAAATTTCATCAAAATCGGTTCAGCCGTTTAGGAGGAGTTCTATGACCAACACACGTACAGAAGATTTTTAGAGAAGATTTCCCGTTACACGGGAACGATGTCGAAATGTTACAAAAAACGAAGCCATCACCAAAACCACAAAAAACTTCACTTCACTTCAATTCACCAAAATCACAAAAATTGAGTTAAAATGCTATGCTAGCGTGTGTTTGTCAGTGTGATAAGGTAGTAACTTACTTTATATCTGTATTATACTAGCAACCCCCGGCGAACTCCGTTTCACTACCTGATGGCAACGTACTCTTCTAGCAATCACTGTACTACGACCTATGTGAAACGGCGTGGTTGTCGTTGTTCTAATCTTCTGACTTCATTGCGTTCAGCTCGTGTATCTTCTGGCTCTTCTCTGACTTCATTGCGTTCAGCTCGTGTATCTTCTTGCTCTTCTTGATGCAATTGCGCTATTCTTTCGGCTTCTATTTCGCATATATCGAGATATACTTTTATCATGGCTCAAATCTCCCCCTTTGCGTTTTCTTGGCATTGCTCACTGGACAAAACACTCATAAATAGAATTAATGATTTTACTTGATGAATGACTTTTGCCGTAGTTTAAATTGATTTAAAATGCTATGGTGGCGTGTTTTTGTCAGTGTGATGAGGTAGTAACTCACTTTATATGCGATTTTTGGTATGTCGACCAGGATTTAAGAGGATGAAAAATAAATGTTGGTTGATTCTCAGACCTACTCAATACGCTCACAAAATTTCATGAGAATCGGTATAGCCGTTTCGGAGGAGTATGGTAACAAAAACTGTGACACGAGAATTTTATGTATTAGAAGATTATATAATACCTATAACTAGCTGACCCGGCAAACGTTGTTTTGCCACCAGATGACTTTATAATTTCTGTACAAAATTTAGTCAGTTCTAGACTTACATATGTATGTATGTGTGTATGTTTAAGTTATTATAATTGCGTCTGGCTTAAAATGAATCAAGGTTATTATAATCACAACGTGCATTCACGCGATTGGCAAGTGGGCTTCCGGAATCCTCTCCCCCCATAAAGTAGATTTGTAAGAATTTATGTTGTTCATTTGGCATTGGCAGCAGTGAGCCCATTTTATGATAAACTTGGCCTCTAATTTTGAATGTAGAATTGTAATTTTGACCATTTGCATTGTTATTTCGAACTATTTCTGTTGCTTCGAACGATGTCATTTGAAAGCATGTGTCGGGTCATCCAGCCGCAGCAGATATTCAGATTCTCTTAATGCTAGCTCTTAGCTTATCTGCATAATTACCATCGCTCTCTCTCTCTCTCTTTATCTTTCTATTCGCTCTTTCTCGTTGCTTGTTGGTTTATACTTTGGGTCAGCAGTCGGTTGATCCGCGTCTTGATTCAATTCAATTGTATTACTTCTTTTCGATCCCGCGGACCATTTGTAACTCTTTTTCGTCGAAAATAAAATCGCTGCTACAGAATTCGAAAACAAAATTTTCTTCGTGCATAATTACTTCAACAGCTAATAAAAAAGCT